GCGTTGGTACTAAGTATGGTGTTAGCAGCAAAGAGAATTGTTAAGAACTAGAAAAGCAAACTCATGCCAACCATGGGCCTTTAGACTCTGCTGGACATGATTAAATAGGAGAAAACTTCCTTTCCACACAGCAACAAATTGGGCAGTTGTTAAATCTGGAAACGTTTTTTAGAATTATTTTATGCCTATTTGTCAAGACTGGCTTTATTCCTGATGACCTGCAGAGTGTTCCTGTGTGGTCTCCTGGCATAGGAATTTGAGATGAGTTTTATTTTGCCTCATTCTTTTTTCTTTTTGTGGTAAGTTCAGTGGCTACTGAATAACTATATGCTACATTACATTTATTAAAGATCAGCTGTTACTGAATTTATATAGTAAAGGTTAGATGTGGACAAGTTAACGGTGTTTATTCCTTTCATGGTATTTATTTTAAAGTTTTAATAATCTGATTTGGGGTATAAAGTCCCTGAAGGTGACAAAGTGTTCTTTCAATTGCTGCCTATATTAAAAGAATTTCATTATAGTGTATGCCTCCTTTAGTGGTACCACCCCTGCTCAGGCAGCAAACTGAGTGATGCTGCCAGGTCATTCTTTGGCTCCTTGATGTCTTGTTCTCTGGGCCATGTGGCTGGAATTTCTGTTTTAAGACGAGTTAGCAGATACTTATATTCAGCAGGCTGTTCCCATTATAAAAGACAAGTAATTATATTCAGCAAATACACTTTTTGATAACGTTTTTCAGACTTCTGCAGGTGCTAATACAAGAAAAATACTCCATATTGTTGTACTTGAGGTTTTGGTTTTTAAGATACTGTGTCTATGGTCAGATTTGTTACCCTAATTTAGATTTGCCTTTGTAGCACCTTGGAATGTGTAGCAGTGTGACATGATGGAGTTTCTGTAGGGGGAAAATATATTTTTAGGTCTTTCCATAACAATAGCAGATTTGGTCATTTTAATGTGTGTCATTTCTACCCAACTTCACAAAAAAAAAAGAGGGGGGTGGAAAAAAAGCTGCAGTTCACTAGATCCAAAAATAATATGCCTTCAACTCGTGGTTCTGTAATCTTATTTTACTAATATTAATGTTTTATTAATATTTTAACAGACACTTAATGGGAGACTTCCTAGTCTCTTCCATGCTAATCACAGTACAAAGGGCGCGTGGATTTAATAAAAATTCTTCCAGGTGATTCATCCGAAACTAATGGAAGACGTTGTGGATGTCAGCGTAGTCGTGCAGCACATGAGAATTCGTTTATAGCTGCGGCAGGGAACACGGCAAGGCTGAGCACAGCTCTGGGATAAAGCAGGGCAGTTGGCACGGAGCACCCTGGCACGCCGAGGTAACGTGCTTGCTGAAGAAGCAATACCTGGAAATTTGCACTTCAGGCTTGAGTTACAGTTCTGTGGAAATGAGGATCAAGGCATAGTTAGCAGAGTAACAAAATCAGCCAGATTTGAAGGCTATTTGATAGACTTCTCGTGTGTAGTAAGATTGCACTGGATTCCCTGCTGTGTAATATACGTCTTGTAGCAATTTTTACCTCTGGGAAGAGACCAAAATATATTATTGTTGTCGCTGCATTTCTTTGATATGCTGTAATATTTTAGATTAAGGCTACAGTTTCATTGTGTAAATTGTTTCAACATACCGTGAACTACGATCTGGCCTACATCACCAAAAGATGGCTCATAAGCTCTGCATTGGGGTTCCAACAAATTAAAGCAACAGCAACACGTTTGAGAGTGCTGATGGCTTTGAGGATTGTGTACAGGCAGGGCTGAGAATGTAATCCAAGTTGAGAGGTTGATGTCTGTGTACGGTGTATCACAAAGAGCCAGATGCAAGAGACGTCTGCACATCTGGTTGTTTCATTAGAATTTTGAAACACAGTCCTATTTTTTTGTATATATATATATATATGCACTATTCTGTGTATTATATATTTTTCTATGTAAAATATATGTTCTAAATGTATTATTGTATATATAGGATACTGTATCACTGTGGATGTATACATACATTATGTATGTATACATCCACAGTGCAATTTCTCAATGTATATAATGGATAAGATTAAGAGGACACGTCTCAAATGGAATGCTGAAGTTGTCCAGTTCTCTGCATTGCATTATGAACAGTCAGATGAGTTTGTCTTGGTGTGTTTATCTCAGGAATTAAAAAACAAGAAGAAAAACCCAAAGAAATGCTGCTAAGCATTTTTTAATCTTTTTTTTCCTTCCTTTTTTCTTTTTCAATTTCTGATTATGTTTATGGGTCATTGCACAGATACACAAAACTCTATGAATGGCAAAATAATCTTTAAAGTATGAACAGCGGTTTCTCCAGCTTTAGTAACAGAAGGTGACATATTTATTTATTTATTTTAGAGGTGTAAAGCGTCGCCAAGAAGGTACCAAATGTTTGTCAGTCACCTGCATCTGTGTTCTTCCTCTTTATAGTTGTGTTTGTTGTTTCTATTTGTGTTTTTTGAAACCTAAGTATGCAGTAGGTAATTTTGCTGATAAAAGGACATTTTGTATGCAGATCCTAATGCAGATCCTAGTCTGCTTTTACTGGTTAAAATATAAATAAATATATTTTAAAATGAGCTTGAATTCCTGTAGGAGGCAGTGTAAAAGCTCACTGAATCTGTTTCGCTGAAGAACGCTGGTGGGCTGTGCAAGTTCCTACAGTTTTAAGATGTATCAATGCAAAGGTGGTTTGAGACCTTTAGGAATTGTTAAACTAGAAGAGAGTATGATTATTGAGTGTAGGTTGTGATTTTGGTTGGGTTAGATGAATTCATAATGAAACTATTTTCTGCCCCCCTCCCCTTCTCCCCCACCATTGTCCAAAGAAGGGTGAATGGCTTTTTTGAGTGTGGGGGGAGCAGGAGTTGTCCGTTCATTCTTAAACCTTGGAATGAAACTCACTTGGTTGAATCGCATATTTCACAATAAAACAAAATCCAGTCCTTCCAGGATGATTTTTTCCTTCTTTTCCAGATGAAATGAATTCCACTGGTTACAGGGAACTTGTCCATCCAGTAAGAGTAGATATGTTTAGGGAGTACGTAAGCTGTACATATTTCCCTTACTGCTTGTCTCCCAAGATAAGGATAGAACATACACAGTGAAAGAAAGTTTGTCCACAGCCCCTGCAGCAGTGCTCTGCATGAAAGAACTTTGTGTTCTACTTACACTTGTTCTGCAAGAACTATACCCAAATGAGAGAAGTTAAAAATAGAGATACATGGTACAGGTAATTTGCACAGATAAGCTATCAGAAGGCGTGGGTGGGCACAATGTTGGGATTTGTTCGGAAATTTATGCATCAGAGAATGAAAAAACAGGTACTTCTCTGAGCACAGGAGTCCCGCAGCCGTATCTTGATGCCTGATTTTGGTACGTTTGCTGTGGCTGGGCGGTTATAGAGATGCAGTTTGTGGATTCTCTGGTGTTTAGTAAGTGTTGGGCTTCTGCCGCGCTATCTGCAGAGGATGCGTTTCTGAAAAGTGTGATGTGACAGCAATGCAGTGTTGCTTGTAAGAACGGATGTGGTGAAGAGGGACTCGTGCAGGGACTTAAGACATGCCCAGGGTTTAAGTACATAGGAATGGCATGTGTGGGTGGGAGGTGAGAAGCAGGAGTGGATTATCAGAACCAGCAACTGGAAGAGGTGCTGGCTTTTGCAGATGCTGGGTTTTGGAAAGGATCATCATTTGGAGAAATAACAGCCATTCTGAGAAATAACAGCCATACCTGAAACTGCCTGATCATTAGCTGCTTTTTCTGTCCTTCACTCTTGAACTGATGTTGATTTATCTGAGGAAGGTGATGATTGAGATGAAGATGTAAGCATCGAGAAAGACGACGATAACTTTGACAGTAAAAGGTCTTTGTCAGGCATTCAGTTTCATAGATTAAGCCATTCCATGGACTCTTCTGAAAAGCTTGCATCTTCTCTGTGTGTGGGGATACTGGTGATCCTTCCCCTGCTTCTCTGTTGATGTCATCTATACTGCTCCTTTGCATTAAAATATTGTGTGTTTCTGAAGTCCCTGCATGCATCCTGCTCTGCTACGTGAATTTCTGTAGGAGACGGTGCTTTGCAGTCTGTCAAGCTCAGCTGCTTCGTCTGTGAGACTGATGGCAGCAAAGCAGGGTATTAAAGGATCAGTGGTAGAACAAAAATAGGAAAACAATGGATACTGGGATTGCTCTGTCATCAATTCCTTCCGTTTCCTTGCTATCTGCTTTCACAGAACTTGTAGAGTCATGTTCATCTTTGACATTTCTCTTTTCTTTCCTCAATCTCCATCATGCTTCATGGAAATCAGCCTACCAAATAGCTGTTTAAGCTAAAGCTGCATTATGAACACGAAATAAATTCTTCATGGCCAGGGGTTTGAGAGGAGCATAGGCTAAAACCTTTCTTACAATTCTTGTAGGAGTCTATAAGATTCTCATAATAAAAGACAATCTGGGAAAATTAAAGTAGAAAAATAGAGAGTGCTTTAAGATACAATAGTCTAAGAACTATGAATCTCTGGAGATTGGGAGGATGTTGGATTTGGACACTGGCTCGGAGAATTTTTCGGTCTCTCCCAGCCTGGTTCTTTCCCTTAACTGATACGTTGGAACAGTCTGTGTAACTGTGTTTTGTGTAACTCAAATGCTCCTTTCATGACTTTGCAACTAAGTTTTTCTTCTTAACATATCATCTGTCTTCTTATAAGCTTAAAAATGCATTTAAACCAGGATTTTTTTTAAACCTCACTTCTCTTCCCTCTTGACCTCCACCTTTCCTCACTTTAGAAACTGAATTGGGAGAAATGATCATTCTTTTCTCTGTAATTTTTACCTGTTTACAATATACAGTCATTTTCTGAGTGTTCAGAAAGATTGTACTTCTATTTTATGAGCAAAATATGATGATGAATCACATTATGGGCATCTTATTTGAAATTCTTTTCTGTTTGTTTATTTGACAGGTCCTTGACCAGTATGAACGAGAAGGGTTCAATTTCCTAGCTAAAGTTTTTAATTCTTCACATTCCTTCTTAGAAGACTTGACAGGTCTAACTTTATTACACCAGGAGACACAAGCTGCAGAGGTAAGAAAATAAACTTTGGGTGTTAAGAATAAACAAGTGGCAGCAAAGGGTGCTTGGTTTTATGTTCAGTTGTGTAACCATGTGATTAAATGAATCACTAATAGAATTGAGCAGTGGTATTTGATTTACAGGATGATTTAGACGAGCCATGTGCGTATTCCATCCAGTGAGACGTGTCCTTTTAATGTTATAGAATAAGAAATATTGTTGGATGTGAGAGGTCATTCTTTTTAAAGAATAGATGATGGGATGCATGTTTATAGCCAGTTAGAAACGTGTAACACTATTATTATTATTCATTTTGTTGTTGTCACATTTTATGAAATTACAGAAATTTTTTCAGTGACAGTTGTTGCTTGACAGTTTTGAATTTGTATCAGGAAAGTTCCCGTCTGTTGTCATTTTAGGGGGTGTTTCACTGGCAGTGTAAACTGCAGTTTGTACAAGCATTACAAGTACTGTACACAAGTACTGGTATTAGGTAGCCATGATAGCACAGGGCCCAGTATGAGCTAACAGCCACAGTACTTACACACTTCTTAAGTAGGTTGGACAGTCTCTTAAATTAATAGTAACTTCTTATCTCTGAGTTTTCGAATATTGCTTTTGAAGAAAGGAGGTGACTCGTGTTATGTAGTGTAAGGAAATCAATTATACTTTTAGGTCAGTCTAAAATGTAGTTATTATACTGCTTGATGGATTATAACGTGGGGAAAACAATGCTGTTTATGTGTCTAGTGACACAAGTTGTAATGTGGAAGGAAATTTGGGGGATGTTTTGTTCTCATGGGAGATAACCCTGTCCAAATGACTTGCGATATTGAGTTTGTCCCAAAAAAAATGAAACAGGTATCTGACTTAATATTGTATTTTAATAATGATCTGTAATCCTTACTCTGTCTGCAAATGTCTATAGTGTTCTACATTTGTAATTTAATTTTAGTGTAGTTGTATCACATGGATGTTTCCAAGGTTGGCTCTGAGAAGTGATTATTCACTTACTGTAGCCTCTGTAAATGGTATAACTGTTTTTTCAGCTGGTAATGGCTCAACAGTGCTGCTTAATAAGGTTTGTGGGGATAACGATGACTTGGCTCTCTGTTTCATGTTTTAACCTCTTAAAATAGTTGGAGCAGATGCTGGAGACGTTAAACTGTGAAATACCTGATGCATTCTTAAATCTGCATGATGATACCTAGAAAATATTCAAATATGTCTATGAGAGGGATCTGACAAAGGAAAACAAACACCCTTTAACAGGTGCTACTCGCTAGCAGTATGAGTGATTGGAGTCTGATTGCCACGTGTGACTTTTAGGCTGCTGAGAAGTGTCTAGTCTGCTAATGACAGCGTTAAAACCAGTTACGGTGGCCCTATTTAGTAATCTATTACTTTGTGGATATTAATAAATTCCTTTTACAACTTCAGAATGTGTACAGGTGTTTGTTTATAAAGTTTTAGATATCCTTGACAAAATGTAGAGTCTGGTGTAAGTTTATTGCAGCTTACTCAAGTTGAAAGTTTAACATAAAAAAATGGAATTAATGTGCTTTCAAAAATGTTCGGGTTCAACAGTGAGGTTAATACAGTGACATCATTGCTCAAAGGTGGAAAAACTGACATACTGAATGCTAATGCATTCAAATTAGCCCAGCCACCATAGAACCAACGACTTTTCTTGATTGCTTCCCTGGAGCATTGCTGTGTTTTTGTAAAAACTCCTCTGTTTTATCAGGGTTAACTATTCTCAAGGTCTCGGTAAAGTTCGCACTTATGAGCGGGAAGGTCCAACAGGCAGATTATTTGCAGGTTCTGGAGCATGTTTGCTTTTGGGGGGTAAAAGACCTGACCAGTTCTTTTGTTACATCTTGCCAGTGTTGACTGAAAAATAAAGAGGTGGTTTTGTTGTCCTCCACCACTCCCTCAGTACGTAATCTGGGGAAGGTTATAAAGTTTTTAGGCTCACAAGAGAGTGCTTTTAGTATATTTGCTGTTGAATTGTTCTTGTATTTTGAGCTCATTTTTCTCATACAATGCAGTTGGTGCAATTTATGTTACTGAGTTTGAAGACTGCGAAATGGCTTTGCAGGTTTCTGGCTACTTTTGAGCTGCTGTTGGCAGAATGTAGTCTCTAAAATGGAGGTGTTAGATATGTTCAGATTAGTGCTCTTTAGGTTGATTTAGATATTCTCGATACATGGCATTCTGAAAACTGCAAGAAAAGTAGTGAGAAAAGTTTCAAAAGACATTTATGGCTTATTTTGGTAACTGGAGTGTTTGTTTGTTCTGTTGAGAAGTTACTTGCCTTTCTGCGCTCGAACTCTTCAAAAATATTTTCTAGATGATTGTTGGGTTTGGAGACCATAAAAGTGGCTTCTAGTAACTGAAAATTTTCCATTCCTCCTATGCAGTAAAATTTGGCCAGTGCCATTGCTCGGCTGGAATGAAAATAGACTTGTAAACTTGTACGTCATCCAACCTTAAATTTACTGCAGTGATGTCATAATTGTGTCATAATTCCATATATAAAATTACTGATATTAGGCTAACAAAATTGCATCTGATAGGTAAACTACTCAATGTTGTTCTCTTTTTAAAAAGGATTGATCTTAAAATGTCGATTCATTAAGACCATTTAGTTTTAATGTTTTGCTCAGAAGTTTCCACATGCTTAGCACAGACTGCATTTGCCTGGATTAAAGCATCACAATTTGCAGTAAGATATGGAAGACTTTTCACTTACTAAATATCTTTTTAACTTGCATTGTTCAATTTCCTCTTCCCGTGCCATGCTGTTGACCTAAGTATCATCTTGACATACTTCACCTTTTAAAATTACTGATAAGTATATAATCATAAATCAATGGGTAACCAGAGTAGGAATCATAGCACAGATTTAGTTTGTGGTTCAAATTTGATACTAATTACGGAGGTTTTAGCCAATAGAGCATCTATTTCTTTAACATGAGATGCATCAGGAAATGATAAATGTTCTACATGACTTGCTTAGCATGACAATTTACTCAGTAAATAATAAAATTAGCAAGTGTTTCTATTCTGTCTTGAAATGACAGTGAATTTCAGGCATCTGCTTTTTCCACATCTGGCTTTAATTTAGGTTCTTTGGAACATTTTTTATTTTTTTTAATAGCAGTTAGATATTTATGTACAGCTTCAACAAGAGGCTCTGATGACATGCGTGGCTTTGAAGGCCAATAGAAGCTGTGGGAAACTCCCACATCAGCACTTAGACCTTGTTTCCACTGGATGCAGTTCACTTTGGGAGCTGCCCAAGCTCATGTGAAAATTACACTCCTGTTTTCCAGATCACTTTGTCTTCTTGCTCCTAACCTGAACTTTTTAACTTGATGCTTGTTCAATGTGTAGTCAAGTTTAATAGCTGGGCTTAAACTAGAGGAAGCCTATGCATCTATTGAATTATTCATCAGGAACTAGAGGCATTGATTTGGAGACACAACAGCAACGGGCTGAGTGACTTCCCGTTCGGAACTTGGCTGGGCTGCCCTGTGATGGTTGTGCATCACTGTGCATCTCTAAAACCAGCTGGTTTGTTTGCTGCATGTGCCAGACTTAACCCTGCAAAGTATATTTAGTTTACTGGTGTGGAAAGCTCTTTGTATTTAACCTAAATTAAATTAAAATTATAGCTTTCCTAATTTACACTCGACTCCTCTGTGTTAAAGATTGATTTGTACTGATGTGGTACGCTTCTGGAAGTAAAAACTGACACATTAATAAAACCGATAGTCAGGATTATTCCATAGTTGTGGAAGAACCATTCCCATTTATAACATTTTCTAAGAAGCTTCCTTCTTCAAGGGCACTCATTTTATTGTTGCCCTTTTTCTTCAGAAACAACTGATAGTATGAAAGTGCTTTTGAATCACTGGAAGATGCAGCATCTGTTGAGATGTATTGACAGGAGTGATAATGGTGGTAAAGTGGATCTTTTTGCATAAATTTACTGTAGTATGTGCAGTTGAGTTTCTGTACAAGACTTTTTCAGTGATGTCCGTTTTCAGAAGTACAGAAACTTGATTTCTCTCTCTTCTTAATAAGACCCAAGTATAAATATACTTTCTTACTTCAGATGTCAATTCTTAAATTACTTGAATGCTTTAGGAAGCTTTACTATTCTTTCTATTTTCATCAGGATTAAAGAAATCACCAAATACGTAAAAGAAATAAAATTTTCTTTATATTTTATGACTAATTGAAATGCGAGAAATGGTAGAACTCTTGCAATCGAAGAGAATCATAAAGAATTTGGGAAGAAATCAAATTTTGACCAGAGTTCATATTGCTGAATGTGATTATAAAGGTCAGATATTGGTGCTGGCACATCATGATGTCTGTGTTATTTTACTTTAGTAATTTGGTAATTAATTTTTGGGGTTTTTTTTGTCTCTTATAATGTGATCTATAGTATCTGTAGTTTCTATGACAAGTTCTTGTGGTCAGTGAATGAACCCTTTTTGATCATTGCAAAATCCCTTTGCTGTGCTGGGTTACAATGCAGATTAGAACTCTTGTCCTAAAGAAGAGTAGGATTAATTTTTAAAAAGTAGTAAAATACTTTGAGTTCTTTGAATAGGTGAAAACATAAAAAATCCTTTTTTATTCTGATTCTGCACTTATTTGAAGTTTGTGCCTGAACTTTTTTCAGCCATTTCTTGGAGAACAGGGCTTCGTTGTATAATAGGCAGCTGCTTTGAAAGTGAATTTTGTGCTTATCCAAATTTGGAAGAAAATTCAGAATTTCCAATGTGCTTTGCTATTAAAAATATCCTGCTTGCTTCTGATTCTGCATGATATTATGTAATGTGTTTGATGCTGAAACAATAACATATGACTTGCTGAAAAAAAAACCAAATAAAACAGAAAAACTCAACTTCAACAATATAATAGTAAAAGTTCTGTAACTTAACGGTTTGGGGTTTTTTTTCAGTTAACCAAGCAGTATTTGGAGTTGAATTTTA